ACCCCCCAGGGGGGATGGTCACGCCGCAATCCCTTCTCCTCCATTCTCCTCTTGGGATCTTGGGCACGCACGCACATGCGCCCGGCGTGAGTTGTAACCGGATCTGGGACGCGAACCGCGGTCGACTACGTGGGAATCCAGCAACATAGCCATTACGCTAACTGCTGGTTCCCTTATAAGTAGGTCTTTAGAGGTGCTAATTTTAGAGGTCAACAGTAGTAGTTGGTAGGGACAACAGTTTGTAGAATAGTCCCAAACTTGAAAATAAACAGATACCAAAGAGAAAGTCAAAGATTCCCTTCCCAGTGAAAGCTCTCTGTATGAAAGATATTTCTTTTCTAAACATCTAGGAGTTGTACATAAACAGCATTCTCTTGCTTTTTGGTATCTAAAGGATTCAGCTGGACTCTTTCTGCTTTGTAAGTGGGGAAGTTGAAGCAACAAACAAGACATTAGTTAAGACAATGACAAGTGTAACTGGGACCTGATACTCCCCCAGTTGCCACCCTGTGTTGTGACTATTTGCTTTTATGTGATTGTGTCTGTACAGACTGTGAAATCCTGTAGGACAAGGATCATAGGTCACATTTATTTTAGTCACCTAGAGTTTAGTATGATGTCTGGCCCACAGTAGATGTTCAGGAAATAATTACTGACTGCTTAACTTAGCCAAACTCTTTCTCCTTTTTCTTATTTTCTGTAGCTTCTACATAGATGTGCTGGACAATTCCTGCCCTCCTCAGAGATAACACATGGAGAGCTCTATGCAGTCACTCACTACCCTCTATAAGGTCTCAGCATCATTTCTGTCATGTTGGGGGATTGCTATTCACGCCCCCCCACCAAAGTGCTGGTCATTCAGACTTGACGTGAAGAAGCTGCCTCTTTGCTTACTCCTCATGATCCTCTAGGGGTCCCCGCGAAAACTCACCTGTAGGCCTCCAGTTCTTTATATAAGCTGTTCTGTGTGTCACTGTTGGCTGACAGGAAGTCGTTGTACATCAGGCGACCCAGAGATTTCTGAACAATCTTGCAGAAGGGTGTGTGGAAGATAATAAACTGTAAATCTTCAAGAGTGAAAGGTCGATCAATGCCAGCTGGAGGAGGAAGGGAGATAGGAAGGATGTGACGTTTAGACCTACACTCCAAGACGTAAGTTTGCTAAGAGACGCTGGGCCTCTTAAAGAGCTAGTTCCCTCTTCCAGTAAATGCACATAAGGTTTGTCCATTCATTTTACATGTATTTACTAAGCACCCTTTATGTATAAGGAATGGAGGGGAACAAACATCTACCACTGCCAATCTCGATGACAGATACCTTCTCCAAATCAACCTGTGTTGTATCATTCCCCCCATGTTCCAGAAGAGGAAACAGTCTCCAAAAGATTAGGTGAAGTCAGGTGTCCAAAGTCACCCAACTTGGAAAAAGCTGGCTTTGAATTTAAGCTCAGATACCTCTCCCTTTACCCAATAGACTATCTCTTTTACTGTGAAGAGGAGGGCAATGCAACTTAAGCCCTTAGGAAAGGTTACAGTTTAGTGCTGTGATCCAAATTAGCATCCAACAAATTCCATATAAAAACAAGGAGTACAATTAAAATGCCGGAAATATTCAGAGAAGAGGAGAGCAGTTAATCAATACTAATTTTACAGTGGATGGCCAGAGACAGAGAGGCCCCAGTTGACTCTTCATCCTTGAGAGTTGCCTCTGGCAGGTGGCATCCCACCCAGCGCAGTGGAAGAAGCCAGGAAGTTGCTCCTTATGCCACCCCCAATACACCCCCACTCTGGAGCTTCGGCACATGTCTTTCCTGCACGGAAAACTCAGGTTTGTAGATGCCCACCTGGACATGGCTAAGCATGTAAGAACATTTAAAATTTTTAAAAAGCAGTTTTCTACACAGTGTACTCTGGATGGGAAAATTAATTTTATATGCTGTAATGATTTTTGTTTTTGAGAGAGAGTTTTGCTATAGGGCGCGTGCGCTCGCCAGACAGACAGAGAGAGACATAGAGACAGAAAGTGAGAAATCACCCCCCAGGGGGGATGGTCACGCCACAATCCCTTCTCCATTTTCCTCTCGGGATCTTGGGCAGACACGCACACGCGCCCGACCTGAGTTTTAAGCCACCGGGTCTGGGACACAAACCGCGGTCGACTACATGGGAGTCCAGCGACATAGCCATTATGCAAACTGCTGGTTCCCTATATGCTGTAATTATATATAGTGGATAAATGTAATAAATAAATTTAAAAGTGGATTTTTTTATATTTTATTTCTAATTTCACTTTATTTAAAAGTGGGTTTCTCTATATTTTAGAAATATTTTTTTTTCTGATTATAGAAGCAGTACAAATGTTTTATCAAGGAAATTCAGAAACTGAAGGTAAAACCAAAATTGACCTGGGACCAGCAGGTGGTTAAGAGTGCTGAACTCCTACATGGCAGACAGCGGTTTGAGTCCCAGAACTGGTGGCTTGCCTTCTCACTTCCTCTCTCTCTCTCTGTCCCACTCTGATCAAATTTAAATAAATAAATTTAAATAAAAGAATTCTTTTAAAAAAGGTAAAATTGACCTATAATGCCACCACCAGGCAGAGAAAAATTAGTTAAAACATTTTAGTATATAGACAATATAGGTAAGATTTTTCAAGACTGATTACACTTTAAAAGGCGGTAAACTAGAATCCAAGAGTGAAATTACACTTGACTAAAACAGGAACAAATCCCATCTCCAGTGGGATGTGGTTACCCTGCTTCACAACAGCATCTCCCCAGGAGGCTGACACCTGTGGGTTTCATATTGGTGTCTTTGGCCCTATATTGTTTACTTGCTTTCGTTTAGTTTAAGTAAGAGGCAATTTTGTACTTCAGTTTGAATGACAGGCAAACAGATTTGAACAAAGACTCAGGGCAGAATGTGAGAGGAAACATGAAATAACTCTCTTGACATCATTTTCAGAGGTGAGAAGAGACCTTGTCTTAAGCTATTAGATATAAACTCTTGGCCCATGTAAGCATAGTCCCACTTTCTGCCCTCCAAATCCCAGACCTTGCTTCCACTGATTCTGGATCTTTTGGCGGTATACTGTATAACATCGGTCCAAGGCCCGTAAGTAACACTGGATGGAGAACTTCCCATCCACCATCGGGTACTCTGAGGACCCACTCGGTTTGTAGAAGTCATATACATTCTCCATGTGTGTTCCCCTGAGCCCTGCAAAGACACAGAGGGTTTCAGGATTATGTAATGCAGTAGAAGGAAAAGAGAACTGTCAAAAGAGCTTCCTGGTCTTTAGCTGTCTTCCACGCCCAAGCCTGAGCCCACTAAAGCTTCCTCACATATTCAGAAAGAGTTGAATAGATTGTTGATGTTACATAAATGAGATGTCTACCTCCCTTCTCACATCTATGCAGGCATAACAAACCTGGAATAAAAGCCAAAGTCTCAAAAACCAAACCAAGCAAAACAAAACCAACTTTTCCTTTATACCCTATTCCCTTCTTTCATCTTCAATTGCCAGTTTAGTTCCCTCATGTTAATAACAACCCACACATTATTATTCCAATGCATGCCGATGCAGACTGCTCTCATCTTTTCTTTTCAACTCTCTGCTCAAACTCACACCTCAGCCCTAAGTAGCAAGTATGCCAGTGTGAGATTAGGAACTACGTGTAGCTATGTCATGCCTAGGTTCCTGGTAATGGTTTAATGGTTAACTACAAACCTCGCTCCAGGGCCAAAGGGGCATTGGGCCCAACCAGCATGGCCACGGCTCCGGCCCCACCTGTGGAACGAGCATTTCCACTGGGATAGACCGCTATGTCTCCACAGACCACCAACGCATATCGACCTGTAAAGAGAAAGAAGAGCTAATCATCACCATAGTGGCTGGCCCTGTGGTTTAGCTTAGTGGCTTAGCCTACTGGATAATGGAGTTGAATCCCACATGACCAACTGCGGTTCAAATCTCAATCCTGGTGTCTTGAGAAACATGCTGGGTGTGTGTGCATGCGTACCCAACATGCCAACAGGATGGAGAAATGGAAGAGAAATATTGCACTTGACCATGCTCCATTTGGGGAGCTTTCTCTCTCTTCCTCTGGTGAATGCTCGTGCTCTCTAGCAATTAGAAAAAAAAATGACAAAGATTAGAAAGCTTGAAACACTCTTTTTTAAAATTTATTTATTTATTTATTATTTATTTATTTATTTATTTTATATTGGAACCATCTCCTATAGGCTTTCAAGAGCAGATTGCTCTCATTTCTTCCCAGCTCCACATTCAATATCTTATGATGTCAGGTTGACAACTTTAAATAGGTCACAATGACCATATTTACACCACAGAAATTGACAAACTGGGAGGCCGGAAGAGGAGGATCTTGGTTTTGTTGTTTGGTTTTTCTTTTCTCTTTTTAAATTTAATTTAATTTAAACTTATTTTATATATTCAATCACTATACATCACTTCGTTTGTAAAGTGAATTTACCCAACATAAATACGCTTCACACCAATCCAGTTGAGGATACTACACACATTATCATCAACAGATAATCATCCTTTTTTGTGTCCCATAATGTCTTGGCTCTCTATTTTTCTCTTTGCTTCCTTCCCTTACACTCTCCTCCTTTTCCCACCCTCTTCCCACACTGTCTCCAGTATCCAAAACCATTTTCCAGGCTTCTATATTGAAATGTCTTTTGTCTTAATTTATCACAGCATTTTCAAGAGTAATTTGGCACATTTTATTTAAACTTTTAAATGAACATTTTCTGCAATTCTACTTTTAGGAATCTATTCTTGTAATATATTACTGTAAGTATGCAAAGCTATTGCATAACATTAGTTAAAACATCATTTATAATTGCAAAAGATACAGTAATCTAAATATTCATCAGTATTGGACTATTTTTTAAGAGAGATTTTTGCTATAGGGTGCATGCACTCACCAGAGAGACAGAGACAGAAAACGAGAAATCACCCCCCCCCCCCAAGGGGAATGGCCACAATCCCTTTTTCATTCTCTCCTTGGGATTTTAGGCATGCACAAATACGTGCCTGGTATGAGCCTCAAGCTGCCAGCCTGGGACTTGAACTGTGGTCGTCCATGTGGGAGTCCAATAACGCAACTGCCATGTCATCTGCTTGTCCCAATATTGGACTATTTAAATAAAGTCTGTTGATGCACCAATAGAGTATTTTGTGACTTTAAAAAGTAAGGTAGGCCTTACATGTGTTGGTATAAAATAATCTCTAAGGGATGAGGAAAAACCACATACAATGTGCAAAACTGAATAGATACATACATGCTATCATATACATAGAAAAAATTTTACAAGAATATATAAGAATTGTTAATATTAAATTCTGGGAAATGGTAATAGGGTGGCAAAAAGGAACTTCATTTTCCCTGCTCACCTTTTTGTGTTTATTTTTTCCAACTATAAATTTCAGTTGCTTTCATTTAAAAAATAAAAAAGATAAGAAAATAGAAACACTTGGGACCAGCAGATGGTGTAGCGGTTACATTGCTGGACTTCTATGTGGCTGACTGTAGTTCTATTCCTGGACCCAGTGGCTTGAAAATCATGCAGGCACATGAGCATGGGAGCCCAAGATCTGGGGAGGAGTATGGAGAAAGGATTGCAGCATGGTCATTCCCCCCAGGGGTGATTTCTACTTTTCCTCTCATTTTCTCTATCTCTCTGTCCAGCGGACACACATGCTCTAAGGTAAAAACTTTTAAAAAAGGAAAAATAAAATATGGGTACTAAACAAATCTGAGCCAGTACCATTCTTTCCTTCTCTTTTACCCTGCTCTCTTTGCTTGAGTGATCCTGAACTTGCTGGTGAGTCCTGGAGCTCTGTCCTCCCTCTGAGGATCTCCAGATGACTGGTTGGCAGGCTGGGTCAGAGCAGAAATTTTATCAACACTGGCCTCATCTGGCTGGTCATGGTAATCGCTGTTACCTTCAGTATATGTATACCTTCAATGCATGGGGGTTTGGGCTTTTTGTTTTAAATACAAAATTCATATTTTAATAGTTGGTTTTTTAAATTTGTGTTTTCTATCAAGATATCAGATTAAAGAAAAATGCATTTGCAGCCTTTGTTTGTGGAATACCTAGCCACTCAGCAGAATCTATTCATTTGAAATAACATTTTTTTTTTTTGAAGAGATATTCACTATAGGGCACGTGCGCTCGCCAAACAGACAGAGAGAGACATAGAGACAGTAAGTGAGAAACCGCCCCTCCCCCCCAGGGGGATGGCCACACCACAATCTCTTCTCCTCTATTCTCCTCTCAGGATCTTGGGCATGCACGCACACGCACCTGGTGTGAGTTTAAGCCACCGGGTCCGGGACTTGAACTGCGGTTGACTATGTGGGAGTCCAGTGACATAGCCATCACGCTAACTGCTGGTTCCCTGAAATAACATTCTTAAAGCTGATAATGTTCCCAAAATAGGCTCTTTGATTTTTGGTTAAATGCTGGTGAGTGTACTACTCTCCAAATAAACACTTGGTTGGGCATATTGGTGTTGATAATGGCGGTAAGTGTTGTTAGAGAAGTGGTAAAATACAAGTTGAAAGTAGGAGAAGTGCTGTAAGAACACATTTGATGGCATTGAGATGGGGAGATTTCATCAACAAAATCGTTATTTGTGAGACCATTAACGTAGAGCAGTTGAAAAATTCCCGAATGGGCTTATGGAACTGCATTGTATTTGAGTGTACATTGCTAAACTCCTCTAAGTCTCTTTATTAAAGCAAAGGCTATTAGGTTAATCTCTAAGTCAGCATTAGGATTTCATAATTAACTTAAAAATTAACAATTATTATTATGAGCTAGTCAGCAGTATGGTGAAGGATGCTTGAACAACACCAACTGCATGGTTCAAGTTCTGGATCTAGAGGCTTACAAAACATGTTGGGCATGTGTGTACATATGCTCAAAATCCCAAGAGGAGAATAGAGGAGAAAGGATTACAGTGTGCCAGTGCTCCTGGGGACTGCTTTTTCACTTTCTGCTCTCTCTGGTGAGCTCACATGCCTTATAGCAAAATAAATAAATAAGGTTTCTAGTTTCTTTTCCTATTTTTTTTTTAAAAAGAATTATTTATTTTGCTTTATTTATTTAGTATTATTTTTTAAAATTTGCTTTAAGGCATGTGTGCTCACCAGAGATGCATAAACACACACCCACCCACCCCCCCCACACACACACATAGAGAGAGAGAGAGAGAGAGAGAGAGAGAGAA